TACATGGACAATATATCATACTCTCACAGCCTTTTTTTGTAGCAAAAACATTCGATCTATTACACTTTTGCATGCGTTTCCCCAGACCATCATCCAGCAGTAAAAAGCAGGAAAATCATGTCACTTTTCAGGCTTTCTTGTAAGTAAGTAAGTAATGTTTATTTATATAGCACATTTTACAGAGTGCTTTACAATATTCAGATATTGTTCCAGTCCTTCCACACACGGTGATGACAGAAGCGAGTCCAGAACACACTGGACCATCAGCTCCAACACCATCATTCACTCTCTCATTTACATTCAGACCTATTGTGCATGTTTTTAGTGGTAGGGGAAACCGGAGCACCCGGAGGAAACCTATGCAGACACGGAGAGAACATGCAAACTCCACTCAGAAAGGCCCTGTTCCGACCGGGATTCGAACCCAGGACCTTCTTGCTGAGAAGCGAGAGTGCTAACCACTCAGCCACCGTGCCGCCCATGTTGAATGCATGAGAAAAACGTGATTCATTATTTTCCAGATAACCCAGCCGTAGAGGACTCAATAATATATGCTATGCTTGAGTTGTTGCTCGGTTTGTTCATTCAATACTTAGCAACATGTGTGTGACTTGTATTGTGATGTCATTTAAAACATGTGTCATTCCATCAATACATTTTATTTCGCCCGCTCTCTTTGATCACTCATGAAAGTTCTTCGAGTAAAAACAAATAAATAAATGAAACATTGGGCGACAGTGGCTCAGTTGGTAGAGCATTGGCCTTTGGGCCTGAAGGTCGTGGGTTCGAGCCCACCATAAGACCTACTTCACGACTCCCACTGATGACTGCTGTCGTTGTGTCCTTGGGCAAGACACTTAACCCCACTTTGCCCAAAGCCCCAACTGAAAAGAACTCAGCTCCTGTGGACTCAGCACCTGCAGGAGCATCAGTGAGCGGCTGGTGCTCTGTGGACTGGGTGCAGCTCTGACTGCCGCCCCCCCGACCCAGAAATGGATTAAGGGGAAGAAAATGGATGGATGGACCACATCACGGCTGAATTGAGCAGAATGGGACTCAGGTGGTCAGACTGAGGGCGGAGAGTGTGAATTAATGAAGTATGATAAAACAATTTGTCATGAACAAAACTTCTGAACTCACAAGGATTCCCAATTACTGTTCGTCTCCGCCACGGTCGCACGCACCTCGTCGACACAGCCAAATTCACACAATTTGCACACTGTAATCAAAGATGGAGTGGAGCAGCCGTAACAAGACGCTTCAGATAAAGGCGCTTTGATTAAAACAGCTGTCATTATTAGTGTGCCATGTATTTGGGTCTGTCTGTAAATAAATACAATGCTAAGTTGAGAAGGGTGCGAGTGTGCGGCACTCTGTTGCGAAATGTGGCGCAGCTGAAAGGTCTCCAAGCAGAAAATGAAGGACTTATGAATATTCATGAGCATACCCCGGTGCATCTCCTCATCAGGACTGGCTTGTCTGTGCCCCCCCAGGCTAAGGTCGTGTCCTATACTCATGTGAGCGAATGCACGGAATGTCTTCTTCTCTTCTCTGCACTTTTACAAGATATAGGCTTAATGCATGTCCAATTTAATTTGCATTTATTAGTTCATTTGATTGAAAGGGACAATGCATTCATTCATAGTTACAGCAGAAGATACGACCCCACACAGTTATAGCAAATTCTCATCTCCTGTCGAGGGTTTAGCTTTTCCCTACATAAGTACATACTAATTATACAGTCGTGAAAAAACACAAGCTTAAACACATATTTACAACCGCAGTATGTTATGGGGCTGCTTTTCTTCAGCAGGGACAGTGAAGAGTGATAGAGTTGGTGGGAAGGTGGATGAAGCAGGGTGTTATTGGATGAAAAGTTGCTGGAAATATCACATACAAGTTACTTTACTTTAGGATTATTTGTACACAATTTTCAGTTTTTTATTGAATTGAAAAATACTGAATTTCACTTCACATTTAGTGGTTAGTTGTGTGAGACCCTTCAGTAAAACAATTAAAATCTTTGTTTTTGCTCATTAATAAAGCAGTGGCTCACATTCATAACCAACTCAAGTATGTTTTTGGCTGAAGGTAAATATTTTCTTATTGACATTAATTTAATCTGTTTCATGATTACCTCATGCAGATTCCGGAATATTTTATAATCTAGTCTTTGGGTTGGCAAAATATGACAGAAAAATTACAATTTTTTTTATTTTTTTACAATTTCTCAGGCGGAGTTAGAACCTGCAATCTGTTACTAATCGTACTGTATTAAGATTAAGGTAGGGGTTTAAAAGATACTCATCCTACTACTGTTCTTTATGTGACCGTGATGTTTTTAAAGAACAAATAAAGAATTGAAAAGCAGAAAGGTAGAAAGGGAAAAAATGCACCATGACAAATATAAATTAGACAGAGGACTTTGATCATAAGAACATTTACTAAGCTAGATCTAAGATTAGATTTATATTATCATTATAGCAGTCTTTTGCAACAGAAGTGTTCAAAGAGATGGAGATAACAGTGAATTGATAAACATTAAATCTAAAGCTTCTGAAAATGTGAAATAACAAATTAAGAATGTTATGATGTAACTTTAAGACGAATCAGGAACAGCTTTAACTCTAAACTCACAAATGAAAATGGTGTGTTCTGAACCTTTTTGTTTCATTGTTTATTCTTTCATAACATTACAGTCACATAAAGAACAGGCAGAGTCCCACGTAAACCGACACACACGGACATGGATGAAGGGGAAGAACATGGATGGGACTAACATAGAAGGCTTCATGTCATTAACAAATGCATTACTATTCTCTCTTTATTGCAGGTTCTAAATTGACCTTTGGTAAATAGTTAAAAAAGATTATAAAATATGCC